TTTTTTAACATGGTCAACGGCTATTTTGCAAAAATGGCGCAAGTCAACCGAGTATTTTCCACCATTTCCTCCTACACTGTTGGGCCACATGGGCCCTGGCAGAATGGATTAAACCCGATGCCATAGTGCACAACACTTAGTGATGTTGAATTCGATGTACATTCACTAATTTATATCTATTTTTTTATTAATTATTAGTAGGTGTCTTCAATAATTGTTAGGAATATAGGGACTAAAAGTGCAATTTTTATTACGATTTAGCATTAGGAGTTATTCTAAAAAGCTCGCATAAAGTTCACCTCGCTTGAAGCATAACTTTGTCGTCTAACCACGCTTTATATTTTTTTACACATAAGACTTTGCTTAGCTTTCCTTAGACTCGTAAAAGTTTGAAACGTGGCATTACCATCCAGCCACACTATATGCTTTCTAGAATACTGATATTATGTTTATATATTGCCATAAAAGAGTCATCCTGAATCTTTCTGCAATTGGGCCGTAAATCCAGTTGATACCATATAGGCAAAAGTGTAGAAACGATGAACCAGCGCAAGTCGAAGTTTTGAATACCACGATTAGATCACCTTTTAGTTTTTGTTGATTTCTAATAATGCCAGAACCAGACATCATATACTCGTTGATTTGCATATAATTTGAATAAAAAATTGGAGAAAACAAATTCACAATTCTTCTATATTTATCAAATTCAACAAATCAAGAAAAGTTATTGACGGCGTCTCCCATTAAATTGAAACCAAAACCAAATTCCCAACTTAATAAAAAATTGCATTCTAGGTCCCTATATTCTAAATAAATAATCAAGCCACCTAATAATTACCATTAATAAAAGGATAAATAAAATAGCAAAATATTAAATTCGAGGATGCCTTAACTGAAATTTTAGTGAATTTGAAATGATTATAAGTTCTAAAGAATTAAGTGAATTTGCATAAATTTCCTCATAATCCTCAAAATATTTAGAGCCTGCTTGTTTCCCATTTTAGTGTAAGAATGCATTTTAAAATAGTAGATTGATAAAAAAATGTGTAATTAGAAAATAAAGAAAAGTTTTGAATAAATGTGTAATATTATTTTGTCGAAAATGTGAGATTGAAAAAAAGAGAGAGAAAAAATATTTTGGGAATAATATGATCAAACAAAGGCCTAATAGATTATGTGAATTTTAAATGATTTCATTGAAATCCATTAAAAGTTTAGAACAACTTTTAAAATCAATTAAAATCTCAATCGAAAGCCCCTCATCTTCAATCTTGTATCCATCTTCATCACACCACTACCCAATAGGAGACACATCCAATTTTTTGAAGTCAGGTTGATGTCAGCAATTTTAGATTTCCTCACCATCTGATCTTTAAATTAAAAGCCTTGCATCTCCATTCAATCTAGTGTCAAGTTATGGACATGAGAACGTGTTCAGCCATTCTCTTCGCTTCTGCACTGGCAATTGCGTTCCAGGTCTTTGTTTTATCTCCAATATCACCTGATATACTCCTTCTTCCAACCTCTTCAATCCCATCAAACAGCAAGTTACAGGTGAATATATACCTTAAGTCTTAATTTTTTGTGTGTGTGTAACCAATGGTTGATGCTACTAGTTTCTTTTGGCCCAATATATAGGAAGTTAGTAAACTTGGAGAAGGGCTTCTAAACAAACCAGAAGCCATTGCTGTCGACAAAACGGGCGTGCTTTATACGGCTACAAGAGATGGTTGGATCACAAGATTGCACAGAAATGGATCCTGGGAGAAATGGAGGCATATTGACAGTGATAATTTATTCGGAGTAACTGCAACAGCAGCTGGTGATCTTGTCGTCTGCGACGCAGAGAAGGTAAATCGTGTTGAAGAGTAACATTTCCTAATAATTTTAGCTTTTCGATGAGGTGGTCGGAAACAACATCCGGTGAAAACAGTTCAAGTCTGGCCTCTAATCATTTATGAAAAACGTGCACCTTTTTCAACAATTTTAGCTTTTTTATGAGGTGGTTAGACACGACATAAGTGAAAGCAGTTTAAGTATTGTTTCTATTCTTTAGATAAATGCTATTTATCCCCCATTAAGAATGCATCCCCAATCTATGTGGCGTTTAATGTGACATTAAATGATTGGTGAAATTAAATAAGTCATTTAATTTCACATATTATTTAACCAATCATTTACATCCACGTAGACTGTGGATGCACCCCCACTGAAGATGAATAGCATTTTTCACCCCTTTAGGGTCCGTTTGATTGCAAGTGTGAAAAATGGGTTGAAAGAAAATGAATTTCAAGGAAAATAATTGTCTAGAAAATGCTTTGTAGGAAATTGTTGATTAAATGTGTTAGATTTGTATAATTTTCCACCCGAAAAATTTTTAAATTGTATTCGTTTGGCTTTATTTTTCATGAAAATTATCCATTAAAGTGATATTTTTTTCCACAATTGATTATAAAATTTGTTTTCATTACCAAAAATTAAAAAAAGAAAAAAATTCCTAAAAAAATCATTTTTTATTAAAGTTTAGTGTTCGTTTGGTTTTGTTTTACATGAAAATTGTCTATTAAAGTGAAAAAAATTTGCAATTGGTTATGAAATTTGTTTTTATTACCAAAAAAAAAAATCCAGAACCTGGAATTCAGTTTTCCCACCAAATGTTGGAAAACACTTCCATCATTTGGGTGGAAAACCAGGCGTGTGGGTTCAAAGGAGGAAATCATTTGGGTGGCAAATTGTTGTCTATCAAACACTACCAAAAGTGCAAAATGGAATTTGGATTCCATGAATTCCATTTTCCATGGAATTTAATGTCTATCAAACACTACCTTAGGAAAATTGTGTACCTTTCTTAAAAATTTTAGCTTTTCGATGAGGTTGTTAGACAGCATCACGTGAAAGGGTTCATTATGACATATACTTCTCAAGACGTTTGTTCATGTTGTCAAGTATGGCACAGGGTTTGCTCAAGGTTGGAGAAGATGGCGTAACCGTTCTTGCATCCCATGTTAATGGCGCCAAAATTTTGTAAGTTCCCTTGTAAATTCAATGTCACGTACACAAATTTCATAATGATTTACTAAAAAATCGATCCTCTAGTTTTGCGTTAAACAAGTTTGTCTGGAAACTTCAATGTTGGGTAGAAATACTTGTCTCCTTTTGCCTTTTCAAATCCTCTTTGGGACCATTTACTTGGGCAATTTATAAAAGTGATTGTGACTACCGCATTAAGTCTCCGGCTAATTGATGTCTATTTGAATGCGCAACTCTATCATCTCACTCTTATTCAATGATACTAATAATTGAAGAGAGAGACGATATTATTAACAATTAATCCCATACATAGGGGATTAATTCACAGGGACTCATCAGGTCACTCACATGGGTAGACCCCATTGTGTATTAAAAAAAAGTGTAATGTTATTCATCCCCAATGTGGATGGAAACACAATTTAGGTGGCTTTAAATGATAGGTTAAAAGAAAGGTGAAATTAAATGACTTATTTAATTTCACCTATCATTTAATGCTACATTAGACTGTGTTTCCATCCCTAATGGGGATGAATAGGATTACTCTAAAAAAAATTTATGTGTGGCCCCATATGTGTGAGTGCTACATTTGTGAGTTTTCTTTCTGTACATGTGGCGCGATTCTATTATTAAAAGAAGAAGAAAAAAAGTAAAAAATGTTATTTATTATACAGATATCAATCTTCTGTTGGGTACTATCAAGAAAATTCAATCATGCATATATGTAAATCCTGAAGCTTGAAAAGCTACAAAAAAATTCATGTCGATTATATACTATTTTAATTCAGTTCGGTTAGTATTTATATACCTTATCCTCTTTTTAAAAAAAAGCTTTTATAGCCCTAATCATTTTTTTATATTTAAACTTTTTTTTTTTTTATAAACTTTGTTTTCTTAAAAAAAATAAAAAAATTGGCCCTATCTATTTTACACCTCTATATTGTATATTATAAATTTGATAAAAATAGGCAAAAATGCTATGTATTCAATTAATTTAGATTAATTAATTATATGCCTGTGTTATCTATCATTATTCAATAAATTGAAAAATGTGTGAATAGAAGTTGAATTTTTTTTTTATTTACATACAAAATATTTTATTATGAAAATATGCAGTGAAAAATGAGTTTTAAAAAAAATTGAAATAATGGCAGGCAAACATGACCACGCTACGAAATCAACGTCATAGATTTTGTCACATCATTTTGTAAATCCACTTTTGTCATTTACTTTTGTACAAGTAGGTTAATCCATATGTTATTTCAAATATTTAAAAGGTTTGCAGATGATGTGATAGAATCAGCAGATGGTAGTTTGTACTTCAGCATCGCAACTACGAAATTTGAGCCCCATAATTGGCACCTTGCAGTGCTCGAGGCAAAGTCGCATGGGCAACTTGCAAAGTACGATCCTTCATCGAGGGAGACGACTATTTTGCTTGATAATCTTGCCTTTGCAAATGGTGTTGCCCTCTCAGCAGATCAAGATTACTTGGTCGTGTGTGAAACTTGGAAGTAAGTATTTTTCAACAATAAATGCTTAGTTTATCTCAGTTTACTCGGACGAAATCGATAACATATTTAGGCTTGTCTGCGTTAACAATAATTATTAAGTCCATATTTGATCCCGATTTTCTAAAATTTATTTTCAACTATATATTTAATTATTTTTTATTAAGATCTAATAAAAATATAATTTTGTGGAACAAACGGGGGCTAAATTTTATTTTCAACAAATTTGACGTAGGTTACGTGAATCCTTTTTATCTAGTCAACTCTACTCATTGTTAGATGTATATTGAAAAATTTTAAAAATTCGCTCATTTTAGCCTACCACTTCCTCTTTATGACCGGTACCTTGAAGATACTGAAATATGAGGATTTGGATTATTCCTTTAACAAGATTGATATTTTTAAGATGAAACGTCAATTCTTAGTACAGTATCAAAGCCTTTAAGGTCAAATAAGTAATTTGATCCGATTAATACTCAAGCAAGTACATGAATTTCAAGATTAACGTGATCAAAAGAAGCAACATCTTGAGTGCATGTTATGAATAGGGATAATTGCAACAACGGTCTCAAACATTTCACTTTTTTGAAGACTTTATCATAACCTTCACTTTGTGCAACCCACAGTTCCAAACCTTTTAAAAATTTGCACCTGAGGTCCAAATGGATAATTTCTGTTAGTTTGACTGTTAATTGACCCAATAAAATAACTTTGACCAATTTTAAAAGAGGTATAATAGTAACTTTGAACTTTCCTAACTAAATAATTAAGCAAAAACCCAAATCCCCCCNAAAAAAAAAAAAGATGGAAAAGGAACAAAATTATGTCCCCCCACCCCTCCCTTAAGTTCACCTAACCCCCAACCAAAAAATCCAACCCACGTCCACCGCGCCGACAACTGCCACTCACCATCCCATTCGCACTCATCGATTCAAAATAATCATCAACAAGGTCCAAGAGTTCTTTATTTTTCCAAGGTTCACTAGAATGGTGGTGCAAGCAACGTGGGAGAAATCCATCTTGTTTTTTTCTGTAACTTCTTGACTTTGGTCGTGGTGGCGAGTTTTTGGTAGATCCGGTGGTGGCGGGTTTCGGAGGCTGCTATTTTGCTCAATTCTGCTGTTGATTTGACTACCCATTTTCAAGAAGTTTTGAATTTTAGTGATCGTTTGTGCGTATATGGCTTTGATTTGTGTGGGAGGTGGGGTGAATTTGTTCGAAATGGTGAATGTAAGAGGAAATTGATGGAGTGTGACAGATAGGAGGCCCCCACAATGGTGCTAGTAGCAATTGTTGGCTCGATGTGTGAGTAGCAGTCGCTAGCTCCATGGTGGAGATGGGTTGGATTTTGGTTGGGGCATGGTGGTGACAATGCTTGACGCGACATGGTGATTTAGATATGGTAGGTGGTCATCATTGGCACTGGGTGGTATTGATATCGATGGATGTAGACGGCGGCGATGATAAACTGTAGGGGTGGGTTTCTTGGTTGGTTTTAGGAGGAGGTGGGGTGTAGGGGTGGGTTTGGGAAGGAGGAGGTGAACAATGAATTAGTTTTTTGTTATTTTTATTTTTTGGTATTTTAATTTTAATTCAAAGTTACCATTATACTCCATTTAAAGTTAGTCAAAGTTAATTTATTGGGTCAACTAAAGGTCAAACTAACAGAAATCGTCCATTTAGACCCCGAATCCTAATTTTTAAAAGGTTTGGGGCTGTTGTGACACAAAGTGAAGATTAGAGTAAAGTCTGCAAAAAGGTAAAAGGTTTGAGACCGATGCTGCAATTATCCCTTATAAATACCTACATTAAAGGTTTACACAGGTAGCTTTACCCTTCAGGAGGTATGAAATTTAATGGACTTCCTATTTGTGCTTTTGTGGGCAGATATAGGTGCTTAAAATATTGGCTAAAAGAGGAAAAGAGAGGACAAACTGAGGTATTTGTTGATTTTTTGTTATTTTTATTTTTTGGTTTTTTAATTTTAATTCAAAGTTACCATTATACTCCATTTAAAATTAGTCAAAGTTAATTTATTGGGTCAACTAAAGGTCAAACTAACAGAAATCGTCCATTTAGACCCCAAATCCTAATTTTTAAAAGGTTTGGGGCTGTTGTGACACAAAGTGAAGATTAGGGTAAAGTCTGCAAAAAAGGTAAAAGGTTTGGGACGGATGCTGCAATTATCCCTTATAAATACCTACATTAAAGGTTTACACAGGTAGCTTTGCCCTTCAGGAGGTATGAAATTTAATGGACTTCCTATTTGTGCTTTTGTGGGCAGATATAGGTGCTTAAAATATTGGCTAAAAGAGGAAAACAGAGGACAAACTGAGGTATTTGTTGATAATCTTCCTGGTGGACCTGACAACATAAATCTTGCTCCAGATGGCTCTTTTTGGATTGCTGTGTTAGAGGTAAAACTTACTATAAATCACGTGATTGTTTTACAAAGCATTGTATACAAGTTTTTAGCAAATTTTGATGAAAGTTGACGCAATATTTGGATACAAGTTGGTAAAAATCGACTTCATAAAATATATGGTTAAAATTGAAATTTGTCACATGAGGAATTATTCCAAGAAAAGCTACAAAATTTCTTGTGTTCCTCGAAATGTTTAACGAAATTTCAATTCGAGAGAGCTAAAACCTTGCCGAACTAAGCTTTCCTTTTAATTTCAATGTATTCTTTTCCCTATTTCATCATATTCACAACTGAAGACTTTCTCTGCTGCTGCAGGTGGTTCCTAAAAGGCTGGCATTTGTGCACAGATCAAGAGCAATAAAACACATTATAGCGCGTTCCTCTAAATTAAGCAGATGGGTAACTGGTTTCTACAACAAAGCAATGGTTATCAATGTAGCAAGTGATGGCAAGATTACAAGGAGCTTTGACGATCCAACAGGAAAGGTTATGTCTTTTGTAACATCTGCACTGGAGTTTGAAAATCATTTGTATTTAGGAAATCTTAATAGTGACTTCATAGGAAAACTGCAGTTGACAACTCCATGAAAATAGCACTGTTTGAGTTAGGATTGCACACATCAATAATATTGTAAAAAAGAGTCGTAAATCATGATCTAGTTTTGTTCCCTTGGCGCTGGTTATATTTTCATCAAATTGATAAAATACGGGTTTTGAGTTGGAAGAAGGGAAAGTTCTAAGAGAACTTTTATGTGTAAGTATTAGACGAGATTAGAAGTGAAATGAACAAAATTTTATGTTGGGATGTGTTTAAAACAGCGCAGAAATCCCTTAGTATCTGTTGATGAGCCTGTCATTATTTATGTTCTTTCTACAAAATCAGTTATAAGGAGGCCTCTCTTTCACGCCTCTGAAATTGAGGTCTATCACTTTGCACCTCTTCTTTTTCATGTTGGTTCATCCATAGGCCTTGGAAGCCCTGGAAGAAACCTGGTTGATGCATACTTGGGGGCATATGCTTATCCGCTTGTGTTTGCTTTTGTTGGAGTTGCATGGTGAAGTTTTGCTCCTTGTATGTTGATGGCCATTGCTGTCACCGCTCTGGGGAGGGGTGTAACGACTCTTCCACCTCTTCGATAATGGGAATGGTGATGGTTGGCTCGGTTAGGAGGGGCATCTTCTTCAAAGATCTCCCTCATTGCTCTCCGTGAATTTGTGTCTCCAAACGTCTCTTTTCTTCCGAAGGAGTTTTCTTGAGCAAACTTTTCTGTGAAGTTTCTTCTTTCTTCAAGGAAAACTGAAAACACTTTGCCTTTCTGAACTTTTGGAGATTAAAAGGTTGAAAATGAAGAAAACTTAGAACTTTTTTCTCCAAAACATTGACTTTCTCTTTCTTCAAGAAGAAAATATTTTCCAAAGGAATGGTTGATGTATTTTTCGGTAAGCTTTCCTCATGGGGTTTGTTCGTGGTTGAAATGTGGTTTTCCGCAAACAGAACCAATATGTTAACCTTGACTCGTGGATGTACAGTGTGGTCAATAGATCTCGACTCTACTCACATCCACATTTAAAGCTCATGGACACTTGGAAAAATCATTAGAAGACACAGCTCTCTTCGATGATGGAGGGAGCAGCTGCAAGTATTCAGAGGTCAAGTCAATCAACTATAGATTGGGTATGGGATGAATAGAAGACGTGAGCCACAAGGGTGCATACATGCACCAAGTTCAAGAGAGAAAATATCAAGCTAAGTTACAAATTGAAAGTGTAAAATAACATTACTTAGAAATGATATTAATCGTGAGCTTTTATAATTGAAGAGGTGAAATGGTTACAGTTGGCTGAAAGACGCGTCATCTTTATATATGTCACTTCTATAATCCTTGATTCAAAAGCAATTAATAATTTTGAAAAGTCACCACTCTATAACTTTGGCTTCCTATTTGATGGCCTCGATTAGACCAGGTAAGCAAGTAATGTAGTGTGTGGACCTATTTTCCAATTAAGAATAATATAGACGTCACTTCTATAATCCTAGGTTCAAGGAAGCTTGGGGACTACATTGAACGTTTCAATAAATTGGAGAGCTTAATTGTGAGTCCGGAAAGGATTGAGTACTCCATTAAAGTCCCTTAAGATTTGTGGAACTCAATTGAAGTTTATAGTAACTTGAAGGATTAAATTGAAGATAACAATAATTTGAAGCACTCAATTGAAGTGCAATGTAAAATTGGAGGACTCCGTTGAAATTATACAAGAGTTATGGGACTCAATTGAAGTTCAACGTAAGTTGGAGCACTCAATTGAAGTTTATATGAAGTTTGGGGACTACATTAGACGTTTCAGTGAACTTGGAGCTTAATTGTGGATCTTGAAAAGATAAAGGACTCCATTGAAGTTGTGCAAGAGTTGTGGGACTCAACTGAAGTTCAAAGTAACTTGAAGGAAGATAATATTAAGTTAGAGGACTCAAATGAAGTTTTAAGGAAGTCTGCTAACCGCATTGAATGTTTCAATAAATTTGAGGGCTTATCTGTGGATAATCAAAGATTGAGGAAACCATTAAAGCCGTGCAACAGATGTGGGACCCAAATGAAGTTTAAAGTAACTTGAAGGATTGAATTATAGATAACAGTAATTTGGAGAACTCAATCGAAGCTTTTAGAAAGTTTGAGGACAACATTGAACATTTCAATAAAATCTTGGGCTCAATTATTCATCATAAGATTGAGGACTCTATTCACCTTTTCTTAGAGTTCATTTGGTACACATTAAAATGAAAGAATGCATTTTTTTGAAGTGATGTGATGAAGAATATGTGGTTGAAAAAAAAGGAAAAATTATCGATGTGATGAAAAATATTATTTTATTGAAGAATGTATGGTTGAAAATCAGTAGAAGAAAAAAATAATGTGGCCAAAACAAGGGCTTAAACTTCAATTTCGTCATCCATTTATACAATAATCGCAATTTCATCCTTCAAGTTTTAATGAATTTCAATTTTTACATCAGTCTATCCTTATCTAGTTCTGTTCCCTTGATGTCAGTAATAATATTTTGTTTACTTAATTAATGAAATCCGTACATTATATTGAACAAGGCTACAACACAATGCAAGAAGGCTCAGATGAAATCAGATAATAACAATATTGTCAAATAAAATTAGAAAGTTAAAGTGTATTGAACGAGATTATTGCCATGAGCAACACAGGGCTCAGATGAAACCTGGAGTCAACTGACAATAATCATGGAGCCCGATAAAGAGACACTGAAACAGAATTCGATGTAGTAATCCATATGCAAAAACAAACTCGTTTGCCTATCCTACCTAGGATGACATAAAGGAATTATAGAAGACTGTTTTGCAAATCAGTCGCGCTCACTAATGGCAGTCAGGTGCTCATCGATTTCCTCAGTCGACAAAACTTTGAAGACCGGATCTTCTTTCCTCACGACACCCACCTGTTAAAGAAAGATTTAATGTACGGTTAGAGATACTTAACAACTCAAAAATGTAATCCATTCATGCTAATATCAAACTTGAGATTTTCCCCTAGAAATGGTCACTGTCACACAATGGGCAAAATGTATCATCAAAATGGAATACAGAATTGATATCAGAAGCCAAACATTAGACATTGGAAACATAACTACATGTATTAAGTTATCTCATTCAAAGTAGTTATTAGGTCGTGGAGTAAAATATCTTAAAGGTAATGTGTGACGTGTTGTCGTAGAGATAAGAGCAGAGGAAGTGAGCAACTATACGTTATATAAAATAAAATAATGGGAAACAAATAATTAACAGGAACGAGGAATTGCATTGTCAGGTACGTTAACTACCTCAATCTCGCTGGCCTTGAAATCCTCCTGTAGAACAGATTGCAGAGCAGAAATTGCTGTCTACAAGGAGGAGCAATATTACAAAATTAGAACTCAAAACATTAACTGTAATACAAGAGTCAAAAGTATCTATACAGATGTGATAATATGGAACGAACTCAAACATAAAATACTCTAATTGGAAGAATTTCCAAGACTGAAGAAAATATCATCTCCCTCAGCTTGGCAAGATATAAAAATTCCACATGGCTTTCCAAGCAACGTCCTTCATCATTTTTTTTAATTTTCTTTCCAGCTGGCATCTCTTCAAACACTAAAGATATTGTACTCCTCAATTTTTTGGTAACACGTACTATGATTCTTAACTCCAGAGTTTTATTCAATTCAAACTAAAGTGTACTTTCTGAGATTTGTCAGTGTTCATGTGTTATCAATGTAAATAAGGGCAATTCAAGGTATCAAACTTTTCCATGCTTCGTAAGCCTGGTCATTCTACAAAAAAGTACTGGACCTCTACCAATTTTATTCAATATAGTAGTATCAGATTAGGTTTCAAAACATCACTTCTTTTTATTCACCAGGTAAAATGCAAAACTTAAATACAAAACATATTCATGATGTGACTTTTCTTTACCTGCACAGTTTCCTCATAGGAAAATGAAACGTCATTTTTCATCTTCTTTTCCAAAAAGTTAATTGCCTCTTGTTCTTTCGATCCGGCACTTGTTGCCTAAAAATTCAAGATGAAAGTAAATGGTCACTCAACCACCAAATGATGCTACAACAAAGCGTCCTTTTTATTTGAGATATTTGATCATCAGAGCATTATTAATCAGTTACATCCCATCTTGTTTGTTTGATACTAGGAAAATATTGGCAAAGCTTAAATGATAATTTAAACATGTCAAACATACTTCTTTTTCTTTAACACATTTGGTAGGATCCAAAACTTACTATCCAATTATTATCCGCACATTCCATATGAACCACTGCTTATCAGCCCTTAAAAGCATTACTAAAGAAGCACTAGATATACAACTAGCAAAAGGATTTTGAGTAGCTTTTGAGCCAAAACTAGGATTCGGTGAAGATACAATCAGTTAGAATTTCAAACAAACTAGCAATATTTTGGTTGCTTGGAAATGAAAACACGACTTAAAACAAAGCCAAATTCATCAGATTCTATCTACAATAGGGCCTAAGCCAAGCCAAGCTAAGCTAAGAAAGCACACACTGTAACCTGATTCTTTCATTTAACCAAAATACAAATTTCTTTCAGTCTCAAAGGGAATAAGGTAGAAATGATAAAAATATACCTAGATATTGATGCTATGAATCTACAATTAAGGATCAATAGCCAAGGGTTGGCTATTATTACTTGGATCCACTTTCCAATTTCCCTCAAGCTCAAATTACAGTGACAAAGCCTCCTTGACACTACAACAGAAAATGCTTACGAAAACGGTTTTAGAACTTGTGAGTTCTAGGTCACAAGAAGTCCGCAGCCACATTAAAGCTGGTAGAGGTCTGATAGGAAAACCAACTTTGATGGCATTGAAAGAGAGAATTCATTAGTTTTTTAATATATTTTTCCAGGTAATCAAGGCTTGGGAGCAAGCTACAAAACCCTATCAGCGAGAAATGGCCTTGGTTAGTAATCAATATTCAATTTTTCATTTTGGATGATCACAAACACCTGGAGCAATAGCTTCTACAGACAATGGAAACAATATTTCAGAATTTTACATCATGCATCAGAAGCAACAATTATGAAATTCCCTAGAAATAAATATTGCAATTACCTTATGACCATAAAAATGGCCAGCAGGGTCACATTTAAAGAGCTGAGGTCCTTTCTCCTCATCAATACCCAATATCATTGCAACTTTACAATGAAAACAAAATACAATTACAAAAACATAATGTGAATAAAGAGAATAGTGAATCCTTTCATTAAGTTTACAAATGACTAGCAACAAACCTATTCCAAGGGGTCTCATATATGCATGCTGTGTATAAACCTGAGACTTGTCTGCAATCCTGTAATTAATTGGGCAAGCTTATCGTCAACGGCCAAAAAAAAAAATACTATATCCAACATCCGAGAGCAACTATACATATCCCATGTTAAAACATCTGAATGAAATTTCCCAAATTGCTTAGTTCACAAACCAATAACCGGTTTCTTATAAGACTTCAGAAGTTGAAAAGTAGTGGAGATTATTATATACTGCAGAATATGGAATGGTATCAATTATCCTATAAGCAATTTATTATTTACTGCAGAATCCTAGGGCTCCACCGTTAGAAGTTCTGGACTTCTGGTCATTATAACAGTCAGATCACGGAAAAACAGAAGCAATAGGCAAAATATACAGGGAAAGATCAAAGCAAAGCCCAAATGTCAGGCCTTTCCTTGCACAAAATTGCCAACAGCAACATGAAATAAAGTTATCGTACCATTTGGCCAATATGTCAACAGGCATTTCATATCCATATTTAAAACGGAACTCAGCAGCTTCATTCCTGGCTTGTTGGACCAAGGTCCTTGAATCAGCTTGAAAGTGACAAGGAAAATGAAAAGAAAACAGACATCAGATCCTAATCTTCGAAGCAAGCAAGTCACAAAGGAAAATCTAAACCAAACTCTAAGTCTAAAAAGGATTTCTTATACCAAAATTGCATTCAAGATAAAGAGAACATTCCATGTAAGCTAAAAAGAAAACATAACGCGTGTCTAGGATTCATGCAATGAATCGCTGCACTGTCATGTCACATTTTTCTAGATACATTCATATATAGAGATCTCGGTGAAAGATGAATTGGCATACAATCTATATGGTTCTTTCTCTAGTAATTGGTAATAATGCTATATCATCACCTAATAATTAATAATCAATTGCACAATCAACATTTTCTTGATTTCAAAATCTTCTTCCAATTACTAATGAACTAGCTCCCCAAGCCAAAAGCAAAGGCAGATAGTTAATTCACCAAAACCCCATACCTCGACTAAAAAACGTTTTAGCCAACAATTTGCACTTAGTTGAGATTAAACAATACTCCAGAGCATACATATAATTACATACAATTAAAAAAAAAAACTAGGTCAAGGTAGATGTACCTGTCATTCCGGTAGCCAATAGTCCAAGATACTTAGTAATGGGAAACAAATGTGTCACGCTTGACTGATCCAAAAGCTTGTCCTGTTCCAACATTTCGCAAAATGGTAAAATATAATGTCAAACAAGCTCTCCAATCTAATACTCTCGCTGCCCCCATTAAAGATGTCGTACTATAAAAAAAACAGTATATATATAAGCACGATTATATGATCAATAGCTATTTTTTCTATTTCTCCCCTTTATTTAACCGCCTTTTCAAGCCCATTATTTCATATGCAGCAAATAGTGAATTCCAACTGTTCAAATCAATCACAAGATGTTTGTGCACTAGGAAATAATCTATATTTCAATCCCCAAATCAATCTTTAGAAAAATCAAAACTAAAAAATAAATACTAATTGGTTACATGTACCGACCGGAACTTTCTTCTGAGTAACTACACAAACAGAGTCATTTCCGCGCACACCAATGGAGGTGATTCCGCTAGCCTTAACGGCTTTGAAAGCGTACTCTGCAAATTTAAATTAAACATAGATGTAAAACCCTAACAAATTACATAACGCAATAACAAAATAAAAACAAAGCAAAATGAAAAATATACAGGCTAGAGGTTCTTACCCACTTGGAAGAGACGACCTTCGGGAGAGAAGATCGTTATGTGACGATCGTAGCCGCCTCCACTTCCTCGACTCATTTTTCAGATTCGATTAAGGATTTTGAGTTTGTGGAGTTTTGGTGGTTAACTTTATTTGTGATTTTGAGGTGTGAGAGGCAGATTGTACAGATCGGGGTTAAATTGAGGAGAAAGCAGGAAGCTTTTTGTCCAAGACAGTGAATCTGACTACTGGGAAGGGAAGAAGAGAGTGGTACAAGTTCGAAAATGCCCCTTGTAGTTAATTTCAAATGTGGTCACTGAAGTTTATGTCATTCTTCAAATTGATTTTTAAAGTATGTTTCTGACTCATTTAGTCACTGAATCTAATTAATATTACACCATTGGTCACTCTACTAGTGAAAATAATTTTCGAAATATTACTAAACGTCAACTTTTTTTATAATGGACATCCTCAACCTTTCGAAAATGTAGCAAAATTTGTCCTTGAGACCTATTTAAAAAATACCAAAAAAAAAAAAAAAAAGACGACTAAAAAGAGTTGAATTTTTTAAATATGAACAAATAAGTCATATTCTCCAAACGCCACATTATTCTTTTCGAGTAATATTATTTATTATCATGATGATGGAATATTAGTTACATGAAAACCCACACAACCACCTACAACCCTCCTAAAATCCATGCCGTTTGCAATAAAAATCTCATATCCACCATCAACCCACCCCTGTTGAATCAAACACAGACCAAGCCTCCGTTCGTTTCTCATTTTTATCCATAAAAATGAAAAATATGACTGTTATTCATCATATCAAGCCATCAATTTTGAATTTTTATCTCTTGTGTGGGACCCAATAATGACTATATTTTCATTCTCATTTTACAATAATGAGGGTCCGCTTGATTTTCATTATTAAAAAATGAGTAGTTAAAAAATAAGAAAAAGAAAAATATATTTTGAAAATAATATGAACCAAACAAGAGCTTAATAACACATTTTATGAGTTTATATAATTTTTTAACTATATATTTTATTAACTTTTATCAAATTCGCTAAAAAAATGTATGCTAAAGCTCGTGTTCTCGCTATTATCTTTTTCTTGTTTTTGCCCATTTTGCAATTCGAATTTCATATTCCTGTTTGGCTATCACTTTCAAACTTACCCACTTTCCTCGTTTTTCTTTCCTTTTCAACTTGACCATCTTTTCGTCATGATTCTTTTGCAACTAAAATTGTGCTCGAGAGTTGAAAAATAAGAGTAATATTGAAAATTATCAGTAGTTGTCCTGCGTAATATGTATATGACGGTTTATTATTTAATGCATGAGATAATAAAAAACTATCACATCAATGCATCAAATAATAAACTACCACATGTCAACTACATGTATCCTCGCCATGAATAACAATATTTGAAAAATAATCCAATACAGATGTATTGTGTCATTTATGCCCTTAATTTTTTTTTTCGTTTCTGGTCGAATTTTTATTTACAAATCTTGGTTAACTGGCATAACTCATTGTTGTCGATTGTTTATGTCAAAATGTTCACTTTGCATAAAAATATTTGGGTCTTGCTACATGTATCATTTGAATTATACTTTGGGTTACTCGGACCCACCCCCTCTCTCACATGGGGGGTTGGGTCCCACACATTTATTGAATGTGGGATCAGACCTCCATACGAGGGATGAGGTGGGGTCGAGTAATCAAAAGTGATTGAGTAGCATAATTCAAAATATATTATCGTGATTCGAAAATAAGTCTTTTTATTTACTTTCAACGAACTTTTTGGATGAAAATTATTAATCGATTAATTCATGAAACGTTGGAAATGAATGTATTTATCCTGTGTTTGAGCCACATTATTTTTTTATTCTTATTCTTCTATTCATTTTCAACCACACATTTTTTAATAAAATAATATTTTTTTATTATATCAATAATTTTTCATTCTTTTTGAATCACATATTTCTCATCACATCAAACAAAAAAAAATGTATCATTGGACTCAAAATGTGCACGGCTTTATCGTTGTCGTCAATATTAAAGTCTAAACTAATTTGATTAAATTAACCAAATTCTTGACGTATAATGGGTTCTTGTCAGAATTAATAACCAATTATTTATGTTAATTAAAAATTAATAACTTGATTTAAGGAATCTCAGACACATTGTCAAAATAATTTAGACTCCGACCCTATTCGGCACCACTAATCTCCGATCCATTCTTTCTCCGCCACACTGCTGCCTGCACCGTACCGCCACCTGTATCAATTCCATCATATTTAATTCCGCCGCCGTGGCATCAGCTCTACCTTTTTCATCTCCATCTGTTTAACTTATTGTTTGCTTTGTAAGTAATACCAATTACTGTATAACAGGAAGCAAAAGAAGAAGAAACATTATTGCAGTTTGCACTTTGCATAGGTGGAAGTTGTAGTGAATTTCGCAGTACTTGTTGGAGATCCAGGGATTTTGGAGGTTTTGAATTGGGAAATTTTTGTTAAAGGTATAAGGTTTACGTGACGTTGTTTGCTTTCGATACTCTCTATGATTCAGTTGTGATTTGTGTGTGAACAATGTTGTACTCTCTTTCGTTCCGATCGATCCAGTTTTGGAATTCATTGATAATTCTGTACAATTGATGATTCATTGTAACAGATTCTAGCTTTTATACTTTCTTTTAATTTTGTATTTTAATCTGTTCTTCATGATCTACATTAACTTTTTTCCCCATATACTGAATCGTTTCAAAAAATAAAAAATAC